GGCCTCCAGCTTGCAGAGAACAGATTGTGGAACTTCTTGGCCTCCACAATTGTGTGAGCCAATTCCTCACAATGTATCTCCTTTTATGTACATACGTACACACACACACATATTTATACATACGCAGTATCCTATATATATTCTTTTGGTTCAGTTTCTCTGGAGAATGCTGACCGATACAATAGTAACTGGTAACAGATCAGATGTGTGTTGGGGTTGAAATGCTGATGAAACAGAGGAGTTAAGAGTGTGAAAAGATATTATGTGTCAATTATAAATTTAAAAATTAATTTGGGCTGGGCATGGTGGCACATGCCTGTAATCCCAGCACTCTGGGAGGCCAAGGTGGGCGGATCATGAGGTCAGGAGATCGAGACCATCCTGGCTAACACAGTGAAACCCCATCTCTACTAAAAAATACAAAAACTTAGCCGGGGGTGGTGGCAGGCGCCTGTAGTCCCAGCTACTCGGGAGGCTGAGGCAGGAGAATGGCGTGAACCCGGGAGGCAGAACTTGCAGTGAGCCGAGATAGTGCCCCTGCACTCCAGCACTCCAGCCTGGGCGACAGAGCAAGACTCCGTCTCAAAAAAAAAAAAAAAATTAATTTGAAGAAAGTATAAAGACAATATATATGCAAAAAAATGTTTAAACTATAGATTGGAGAAAATTATTTTATAAAGTTCAATGAGACAGTGGTAGATCCAGGACAAAAACCCTCTCAAGTGTTAATTCTCTTCCATCACGAAGAAAATTTTTTTTTAAAAGTTATAATTGAAAGTAACAAATAAAAATATCCATAAAACTTTTAAAATAAAATGTTATCTGTATTATGAAGCGCTAACTTCAGATGTTTAGATTTTTTTTTCAAATTTTCATTGAAATATCAAGATTATTTCAAAGATAGGCTTTGAAGAAACACACCTGCAATTTCTGGAAGGTGTGTGCAATCTCTTGCTGTAGGCTGTATGTTGTGCAAGTTTTTAATCTTTCTAAGCCTTACTTCTGCATTTTGAAATTAAGTCTAACAACACTCAATACAGAATTTTTTGAGAAATAAGGGAAATAATGTATGTAAAGTACTTAGCACAGTGGTTAACTTGTACTTAGTGCTCAATAGATTGTATCATTTTTACTACTAATGTGCAGAAAAGAGCTAACACAGCAGGTTCGAGGCTGCTGTCCCAAGAAAGGCCTGTTTTCAAGGCTGATCCTTGCCATGCATCTTGGAACTTGGACTTTGAGAGGGTCCCACTATTCCCAACACTGATGAGGCGGCTCACTGTACCCAAACTGTACAATGTAGTTCATGCTGAAGACCTCCTTTCCTTCTGCAGTCCGGAACCTTGGCACACTAGGCACAGGACACCTGTGTGACCAGCCTCCAACAAAAACCTCGGGCACTGAGTCTCTAATAGCACAACATTTCACAATTGTCACAATTTGATGCTGGAGGAATTATACACATCCTCTGGGACTCTACTGGGATAAGATTCTTGGAAGCTTACGCCTGGCCCCACATGCCTTTTCCCTTTGCTGATTTTGCTTTGTATGCTTTTGCTGTAATAAATCATAGTTATGAGTATGACTCAGTGCTGAGTCCTGTGAGCTGTCACAGTGAATCACTGAATGTGCAGGTGGAGTTGGGATCCCTGGCACAACATGTTTCCCCATTCCTTCAACTTTGTAAGTTATTTGCCAGTTTCCATGCTGGGCAGTACAACAAACAAAAAGCCAACCAAATTAAGAGCTAATTCCTGATTTCTTAGCTAACAATAGTTGCAAATTTACATACTACTTCAATTTTTTAAATTCAAATCTCAACCTATAGAAATCGATTCCTCGTTTTCTCTCTCACTATTATTTGTAGATCTTTTTCCTGATCAAACTCCAGCACTGCTCCTCCCTGGCTCCCATCTCATTATTCCACAGAGCCTCCACTGAAACATCAGGTGGTCTGTCCCCTGTGTCATTTAGCCCTCTGACTAGAAAGCAACATCACTTATGACACCTCCAGTGTCCTGTGCTCTGTGTTATCCTGAATAGGATCAAATAATATAAACTTCCAGGAAGATCTTTTTTCAGTTCATTGGAATACGAGGAAATATACATGAATGAACTAACTACCAGAGAGAAAGGAGGACAAACTAAAGAATGACCCACAGCGGAAACTGAAATACAGGTTTTACAAAATTAGACTGAGGAAATGGTTTAAGTGAATTTCTCGTCATCTAGAATAGGATTTTCAGCATATTTCAAAAAGCACAGAAAGGTTTATTACATAATAGGAAGAATTTCAAGAAAAGCTTGCTGTCATCATGTTGAAGAAGCTGTCCAGGGAATAAGGAGAAGATGGATGTCTTCTGTCTGACATTATGAATTGAGAGTTTTAACAGAGTATTAGTGGCACTAGGTGGCCACAAAGAAACCACAAATCACAGTTACTAGATCAATCAATAGCCTCCTCATTGTTTTTCTATTGAAAATAGGAGAACTATGAACAATAAAACTAAATATCTCTAGGGCTATTTTATTTCTGAATGGCCCCTGTGGTTCTAATTTACTTCTAGAGTCACAGTTTTTAACAAAAATTATTTTGAAAAACCTGTTGATTTGCAGAGATTACTCATGTCACATCCTTTTTTTCTCTTTCTTATTTTTCCTTTCTTAGATGGGAGTCTCGCTCTGTTGCCCAGGCTGGAGAGCAGTGGTACAACCTCAGCTCCCTGCAACCTCTGCTTCCTGGCTCCAAGCGATTCTTCTGCCTCAGCCTCCAGAGTAGCTGGGATTAGAGGCACCCGCCACCACGCCCAGCTACTTTTTTGTGTGTGTTTAGTAGAGGTGGGGTTTCACCATGTTGGCCAGGCTGGTCTCGAACTCCTGACCTCAAGTGATCCCCCCACCTCAGCTTCCCAAAGTGCTGGATTACAGGCATGAGCCACCATGACTGGCCCTCACATTCTTTTTTGAATCGCAGCTTCCAGAGATAGGGAGATGGAAATCAGAAGATTGATCTGTTCATGTCTTCAGTAAGACTTCCAGTCAACAGTAGGCTATTAGAGTAGTTAAGTTTGGGGGCAGTCAAAACCTATACACAGATTTTTTACTGCACGAGGGTTGGTGGCCCTAACCTGCATTGTTCAAGAGTCAACTACATATTAAAATCAAATTAAAACAAATTATTACCATATAGCAAAAATGTGTAAATGTTTCCCTTAAAATCTGTTTTAGGTTTCAAAATAATTCACATTTCTGGTAACAGTCCTTGTCCAAAACACTTTTGGATTTTTAAATTTTTTAGATTTAACAAAGCAAATATAGCACATATACCATATATTATGTAATAGTCCCAGCAGGGACTAGGGCGGCTCCACATAATCAAATACATTAATATTTCTGCACACATATACACATACAGATACACACATATACACACACACAGGTTTTGTAACTAAGAGTTTTGAGGTTTTAGTTTTCAGCATTTGGGGGACTTAACGATAAAGGAGTATGGTCCTAAATTACATGAACCTGCAGAATACCACAGGTCACAATGACGAGCCACAGCAGAAATTAAGAGTTGAGGACCATCATGAGACACAATGCCATTCCATCTAAAATGGGGGAAACCAAACTACAGAGAAATCAGTGGGAGAAAAAAAATACAACTAAATCAACTTCTGAGGAAAATACTCTAGAAAAAAAAAAAAAAAAAAAAAAAAATTTGGGCACAGTGGCTCATGCCTGTAATATGAAAAGATTTCTAGAACATGTTATTGAGTGAAAAAGAGCAGGTATATAGCACTCTATGTTAAAAAAAAAAAAAAAAAAAAACAGAATTAAAACTAAACCAGGGCCGGGTGCGGTGGCTCATGCCTATAATCCTAGCAGTTTGGGAGGCCCAGAGGCCCAGGTGAGTGGATCACTTGCGGTCAGGAGTTCAAGACCAGCCTGGCCAATATGGTGAAACCCCATCTCTACTAAAAACACAAAAATTAGCTGAGTGTGGTGGCATGTGCCTGTAAATCCCAGCTACTTGAAAGGCTGAGGCAGGAGAATTGCTTGAACCGGAGATGGAGGTGACTATGAGCTGAGATCATATCACTGCACTCTAGCCTGGCAACAAAGCAAGACACTGTCTCAAAAAACAAAAACAAAACAAAACAAAGAGAGAAAAAAACTAAACCAAGATCACCAACAGTCCACTGAAACCAACTGCATAACAGCATACGGTTAACCATGGGCAACTCAGCCCCTGGTCATTCCCTGGAACCCAAGGATATTTCTAGCAGAGATGGCAGTACGTGGCAGTACTAGCAAATGCCACACCCAACATGTCAGGAGCAAAAGAACCAGAAGTGACCGCACATTCAAGGCCTCATCTAGCGGTGGAAAGAGAAGCTAAGCCACCCACAAGCCAGGAATGTGCTAACCATACATTCACCTGTGCCATGTGCTCACTGGCCAGGTTTTTTAGTGAGCTGCTTTCTCCCTGCTGCCATCAAGGGAACTTTGTAGCAGCTGCTTATCACAAAAACAATGAACGTTTAAAACCTCTGCTTTAGGTCAACTTCGATAACATGTTGAGTCCACCAAATCACTAACCAGTTTTAAGTAACTTCTACTTAATAATGAAGAAATATTCATATAAGGCAATGGACATGGATACAATCTATATTTGCTAAAGAAGACTTTGATACATAATAGGCTGTTTACAGGAGAGAGCCATATGTACAATACACCTTACAAATTCCATGAGGATCTAAAAGTAATGTAATCTAATAGATTAATTCAGTAGGTTAATTATAATAAACCTATAATTAACAGATTTATATCTATTTTGTTAATTTATATCTATATTCTAAACTTCATCTTTCAAATCCAAGTGATAATAAATCATTACTTCATTAACCCAAAGCATTTTCAATAAGATTGGAGAGGGAGGCAATATTATAAAATCGTTATCCACACAGAAAGCAGCAAAGTAAATCGTGATTGTCTCCTACCTCTGCTCGACCCTCATAGTAGGTTAGCATGGACTTTGTAAGTACAAAAAGTCTCTCTTTGTAGTTTAAGGGCGATGTCTTCTTTTTCTGCTGTGATCTTTTAATAAGAATCTCCTCCAAAATAGTGTTAAAACTCATCTCCGTCTTCTGATTACTCCTTCTCCTGCCACTGAAGATCCCAGTATTCTACAGTGAAAAAAGAAACAGTTAAAATGTGACAGTTTAATTTTCTATGGATGTTGCCATTTCAAATTAACAAAATCGGCTTCACCCTCACCCCTGCTGGAGCAGATGAGTGTTCATCTCTGTGCCCCAACTGAGAATGCCTGGGGCACAAAAATTCAACCTCCTCTCCTTTTCCAGTCTCCATCCTGCTCCTCCACGTCTCCATTTCATGGGAAAAATCTAATCAAGGTTCTTCACGATGATGATTCATTCCTTTTTACCTCCTACTACCCTTAGCTTTCTGGTGCACTCCTACTATTTGATTGCAGGGAACAAATATCTCAGATGGAAAAGCACATTTCGTCCACTGCATGGCTGATTTACACTGGCATTTGAATTGCTTCAGGATCTTGGTTCACAAAACAGACAACCTTACAGACACAGCAGACTCATGAACAAAATGAATTAGCATGGTGGTAGATATGATTTATACTCCAGCTCTGATAAGGATGTAATCTCAATGAAGCATCCTAGTTACCAGTGCCACAGGGATGTTCTCTGGTGTCTACACTACCATGCTCCAGAGTTATCTTCCCTATGGCTCCTGTCTCCACTACAGGAGAAATGGAAACCCACCAGTCATACTTAACCTGCTCAGGGCAGAGTCCACTTGGATAAGAAAGTCTCAGCCCTCTAACTCCAGACTATCCATACCTAGACTAAGCCTTTTAAAATTCAACACTATTTAACTATCTGAAAACCCAAAGACATTCAAAAAAGGGCCTGAAGATTCACATTTGAGACAAGTTGAACTAACAACAGCCTCTCCTTTGCTTGCCTCCACCGTGCCTTTAAAGAAGTAACTGTGGCTGGGCACAGTAGTTCACGCCTGTTACCCCAGCACTTTGGGCAGATTACTTGAGGTGAGGAGTTCAAGAGCAGCCTGGTCAACATGGCAAAACCTCGTCTTTAATAAAATGACAAAAATTAGCTGGGCGTGGTGGCGCATGCCTGTAATCCCAGCTACTCAGGAGGCTGAGGCAAGAGAATCACTTGAACCCGGGAGGCGGAGCCTGGAGTGAGCCAGACAGTACCACTGCACTCCAACCTAGGTGACAGAGCAAGACTTTGTCTCAGAAAAAAATAATAAATAGGCTGAGAGCGGTGGCTTACACCTGTAATCCCAGCACTTTGGGAGGCCAAGGTGGGTGAATCACCTGAGGTCACGAGTTCGAGACCAGCCTGGCCAATACGGTGAAATCCCATCTCTACTAAAAATACAAAAAATTAGCTGGGCATGGTGGCAGGCGCCTGTAATCCCAGCTACTTGGTAGGCTGAGGCAGGAGAATTGCTTGAACCTGGGAGATGGAGGTTTCAGTGAGCCGAGATCTCACCATTGCACTCCAGCCTGGGCAACAAGAGCAAAACTCTGTCTCAAATAATAATAATAATAATAAATAAATAAGTAAATAACTGCATACTAAAGGACAGAGGCAAGAAGAGTTACATGAACAGCATTAAGTGGCTCTCTGACAGCACAGCCGGTAACTGGACAGGGTTAGCCACTGAGGAATTCTACCATCTTCATACCCAATCCAACACCTCCAATGCACCCTTTAATTTCCTATTACTGATTGGTCATCATCCAATCAGGCCCCTCCATTTTCTGTAAGGTTCCTTTATAACAGCTTCACTCTGAACATCAGTTCCTTCATTTATAAAGTATGTAAGGAAAGACCACAAGGTCAGTGTGAGGTTTAAATGAGATATGGGCAAGAACTGACTACGAAAACACTACACAAATGTTTATCATCATTTTTAATTCCACGGTTATTTTCCTCGCTCAGAGCATTACGATCCCACATCTGGACCATGAGAGTAGCTTCCCAATTGGTCTTCATTTCCTCAAGTTCTTGCCTCCTTTTATTCAAACTACCTATCCATCACTCCCATTGGATCAATCTTCAAAAATTCAGCACTGTCATTTCACTCATCAGAAATCCTCAGTGCCTCCCCGCGACCTGCAGAGTAAAGCTAAAATTCCTTGGTCTGACACTAGAGACTGTCCACATTCTGGCTGCAGCCTACCAGCCCATCTTTACTTCCACCATATTCCAATCAAAATAGTCTTCCAAATCTCCAGAGATTCCCCTCACAGCATTCACTCCCTGGCCTAGTGGACTCTCTACTTTCCACCTATGAAGACTATACCAGTTCAAAATTCCCCTCCTTGATGTAGTCTCTCCTAATGACTCCTATTAATTAAAAACCTTCCAACTCCTGGGCCATAATTTCTGTCACTCATCATAGAGCTAATCATATTCTGCTATGTCTACAGCAATTAATGTACATATTTTTAATTCTCAGCTGTTAAGGAATGGTTCTCAACCTTAAGTGTGTATTAGAATCACCTAGGGAATTTCATTTTAATACAGATGTCTAGGCTCCACTTCCAGAATTTTTTTATTCGGTTGGTCTGGGGAGGCGCCCTGGGCATCATGATTTCATGTACAGATAGAATTGAGAGCCACTATCTTAAAGGAAGACACTGAGCTCTTGCACCTCTTAATCCCACTCCCAGTGTCTACAGTAGCCTCTCAGTAGCAGCTAAATCACAGAACTAATTAACTCAATAGCCACCTTAAGCTAAAAAGTCACAGAAAAGCTCTTGCCCCTTTTGTATCTAAGTTGGTCTTCCTTATTCCATATTAAAATTTTGGCACTCCATCCTTCTTTCCTAAGAAACTATCAGAATGCAAGTACCATTTCTTTGGAAATTATCTTTTCATCTTTGTGCAACACATTTTCAAGGGTGAAAATGACAACTTATAAGAATGGATACCAGGGAAAAGCAAGCAATGCTCTCATAAACGGGCCATGTGCAAACATGTAGTTCCCAACACAGTGAGCAATACCATTGCTAACAAATGGAAGGCAGACTTTTGGAAGGCTCACAAGGATAAATGGGGTGGGACTCATAGGCAGTTCTAGAAGCAAAAGGTCTCAACATCAGGGGCAGAAAAAACATTCATGATGAATGTCCTGGGGAAAAAATCACCTTATCTGTTCATGTGTGGTGGCTCATGCCTATAATCCCAGCACTTTGGGAGGCCAAGGCAGGAAGATCACTTGAGGTCAGGGGTTCAAGACCAGCCTGGTGAAAATGGTAAAACCCCGTCTCTATTAGCTGGGTGAGGTGGCAGGTGCCTGTAGTCCCAGCTACTTGGGAGGCTGAGGCAGGAGAATCATTTGAACTGGGGAGGCAGAAGTTGCAGTGAGCCAAGATCACACCATTGCACTCCAGTCTGAGCAAAAGGGTGAGACTCTGTCTTAAAAAAAAAAAAAAAAAAATCACCTTATCTGACTTATATGTGCGATTACTTGTCTTATACAGAATCATACCATTTAAGTTGAAAGGAATCTTAGTCACCACCTAATCTATCTCCCTCAAGAAACTGAAGTTCGGAAAAGTTAAATGGCTTACTCAAGGTGACACAAGCCAAGACTAGAAAAAAGTCTCCTAGTTCCTACTTATGGGCTCTCCCTACCCTTCTATCCCATACAATTAAAGTCCACCACTGTTGTTATAATTCATTGGCCAATGGGAAGTCCCGGCCAAGAAAACTACTAAAGTTCAGAGAGAGACAAATGAAAGAAAAGTCTCCTCATGTAGACTTCCAGCCAAAGATGGAGTGCTAAATGCACACTTTGCATTGGCTCCTTCCTGAAATTCCATTAAAAACAGTTCTGTTGTTGTTGTTAAGGAACTGACTCTCAAGGAAATAGAAAACAAAAAAAGGAAAAAAACAATAGAATTTTGGAAACTGGAAAACAAATAAATATGTGGCAGGCCCCACCGAGGTGAAGCCTGGAAATAAATCAATTTCTTCTGCAAAACCTTCAAATAGCTCAAGAATCAGCAGAATATGGTATCTCTAGAAGTGGTGATGAAGAAGGAATTAAAGCAAAAGAATTGTTGCCAAATATCAGTTTAAGAAACAGAGTCTCCTGGCACCAAAAGCCAAAATTGACAAATGGGAACTAATTAAACTAAAGAGTTTCTGCACAGCAAAAGAAACTACCATCAGAGTGAACAGGCAACCTACAGAATAGGAGCAAATTTTCGCAATCTACTCATCTGACAAAGGGCTAATATCCAGAACCTACAAAGAACTCAAACAAATTTACAAGAAAAAACAAACGACCCATCAAAAAGTGGGCAAAGGATATGAACAGACACTTCACAAAAGAAGACATGCATACAGCCAACAGACACATGAAAAAATGCTCATCATCACTGGCCATCAGAGAAATGCAAATCAAAACCACAATGAGATACCATCTCACACCAGTTAGAATGGCAATCATTAAAAAGTCAGGAAACAACAGGTGCTGGAGAGGATGTGGAGAATTAGGAACACTTTTACACTGTTGGTGGGATTGTAAACTAGTTCAACCATAGTGGAATACAGTGTGGCGATTCCTCAAGGATCTAGAACTAGAAATACCATTTGAGCCAGCCATCCCATTACTGGGTGTATATCCAAAGGATTATAAATCATGCTGCTATAAAGACACATGCACACGTATGTTTATTGCGGCACTATTCACAATAGCAAAGACTTGGAATCAACCCAAATGCCCATCAATGATAGACTGGATTAAGAAAATGTGGCACATACACACCATGGAATACTACACAGCCATAAAAAAGTATGAGTTCATGTCCTTTGTAGGGACACGGATGAAGCTGGAAACCATTATTCTTGGAAACCATCATTCTCAGCAAACTATCGCAAGAACAGAAAATCAACCACCACATGTTCTCACTCATAGGTGGGAATTGAACAATGAGAACACTTGGACACAGGAAAGGGAACATGACACACTGGAGCCTGTCGGGTAAGGGGAGGTGGGAGGGATGGATAGCATTAGGAGATATACCTAATGTAAATGACGAGTTAATGGGTGCAGCACACCAACATAGCACATGTATACATATGTAACAAACCTGCATGTT